GTTCCATAAAGAAAAGAACAAAAATCAAAGGCGTGCATGAAAGAAGAACTTGCCCTAAAAATCTTGAGACAAGAACCAGAAACGAGATCGCATAGCGGAATCATGGATAAGAAAGGTGTGCATCGAGAAAGAAGAACCTGCCCTAGAAATCTTGGGACAACAACCAGAAACGAGATGGTACACCGAAATCATGGATAGTAAGTAGCAAGAAAGGTTTGATTCACCTTTTCCGGACATCGACCTCGATGCATCCCTCGTCGGTCTGATCACAAGATCGGGTGGTGAAGCGGAGCCATCGCGAGGAGGAGGGAGGGGAGATCGAAGTCGTTCCTTTGCTTTCCCGGGACGAGAATGGCAAGAAGGAACGAATCAGAGAAGGCTTGAGCCGAAGGCGGGGTTTTTATAGGCGACGAAGGGCTTGTGGAGGGCTCACGGCTATTCGCCTTCGAAATATGGGCCGTTCTTGAACAGATCCGAAACGTTTCCGGTCCAATCCGATTCGGTTAAGCCGAATGAAGTCGATGTTCTCATACTCCGGCAGGAGCCGATGAGGATCCCGGATCTTGAACTCCACCACGTCCTTTTCGACTCGCGAAAAGAGTCCAGAGGAGGCGCCTTTTCTCCTAGCCCGCCCGCCACCGGAGAGAGGAGAGGGAAGGAGCGGTGGTGGTCGAAAGAGGAGTTGCAGGAAGAAGCGCCATCCCATTCCGTTCGTATGTACCGGGATGTAACGCAAGCTTAACATCATCTTATTGGATTAGGGTCTGTAAAGATCCGACCCGAATCCAAGATGGCCACAAAATTTCCTCCCATCTTGTTGTTTCGGATCCATATATCCTCTTTCTTCCCCTCTCTCTGGTTTTCTAATGGCTACAATTCTCCCCCTCGCGCCTTCCCAGTTCCTCCTCTTCCCACGCCGTTCCTCTCTTCGTCCTCCTCATCCTTCGCTCGCGAAGCCACCCCACGAATCTACTCTTCGCTGCTTCTCCTCTTCTTCTTCCTTCACGCAAGCTGCGTTTCCTATCGTAACCGAGGACGAAGCATCAAAGGAAGAAGAAAGCTCCGCCGCTGCTGTTCCTCCTCCTGAAGAAGGAATCCGCCCTCCTGATGGCGAATCACTGGTTGCAGGCACAGAAGACCCCCAGTTCAGGTATCCTGTAATCCTATATGCAATTCCTGCTAAGTTCTTCTCACCAGCTTAATTTACACAACAAACAAGACAAAGAAAAGAAAATAAATGACTGATGAGAGAATTTACTCTTTAAAGGGGCTGCAAGACCTGCGGAAGGGAGGAAGTCGAGAAGGGCTGCAATGGCGAGGGGCGAATCCAGGGCGGGATAGCAACGGTGCCCGGCTTCGGCTGGTGGCCGATAAAAGCCTTCAGGCCTTGCCCGGGGTTCGTGGCGACCGGTGGAAGGTACAGGAGGCAAGGGCAGAGCATGGATGAGGTTGCATTTGGCAGAGGAAGCAGAGAAGTGCCCACCAAGAGCATGAATAAGCCCAGCTCAAGGTACCTTTTCTGAATGCTCTCACATCCAACACTTGTTCTTACCCAATCTTCCTGTAACTTTATGCAGCGATAAAGGGAAAGCAGCAAAGAGCCTGAAGGGATGATGAGTACTGTTGTTGTGCTCCATGATAGTGAAGAAACTAAGCAAGAACATGCCTCTTTCTAATGTCACAGATCGAATGATAGCCCTGTTGCATTGTATACTGAACAGTTTAAGAACCAGCAGCAACATTGTGACCTTCAACTAAATATGTTAATGTTTCTCCCAATTGTACAGAGTTCCTGCAAAATACAAGATACATCTAGCTGGTCATGCAGATTTTCCTATCGATATCTAAACAGATTGATGACATAAATATTATCATTTACATGCGTCAAGAAAAAGCAAATTGCAGGCTTTGGAAAACCAATTGAATCCAAAGCAACGGCTTTTTAACTGGTTGCAAAATGCATATGTCATGGTTGGTATATACGACATTTTCCTGTTCCAGCACATGCAGTACACTCATCTGCATCGCCAGCTACGTGGCTCAAACAGTGATTTATTCGATCGTTCACCACATCCTGCACATTCAATATTATCAGCCATGTTAGTAACTTAAACAGAGAAGTATGGTAGGAAAAGAAAAGACGTCTCAAAGATTAAAGATGAGCGCTTTCAAAGTCAAACCTCACCAACTGTACATGAGATCCTCAAGCCTACCCGGTACCCACAATCAAGAGAAACAAGAATGCATGTTTACAAATAAAAAGAAAGTGCAGACACAGAGGCAGAATGGAAAAAAAAATGGATGGAGACAGATGATCTAATGATTTGACCAGGATATTGAAGATGAAGGTTAATGTTGCCGAGTCATCAAAAGAGGGTCATTTTGATAAATATCATAAATACTTCCAATGGTTAGAACAGTCATACTACAGAAACTAAAAAGTTATAGACTTCACAAAATTCCATCGTAATAAAAAATTCAGCATTAATCATTTGCATTTAGTGATGATACCAATGATAATCACAATAAAATGTTTTACACCAACCATGTTACCACAATTTTTATGTGGGCCTAAACTTACTATTGTAGTATATCACATTCACAATGATATCATACTAGTAGATATATTAACACCATTTTTGTTGGTACGTCATGATGTCATAAAGGTGGTCTATTAAACAGGCGCTTCCCTAGTCTCAAAACCATGTTTGTGTTGTATATTTTAACTGTGTCAAAAGCCAAAATAAAACTCAAGGCATGCTCAATGCCATGTTAAAGGTGGTCAAAAGCAGTCCAGACATGATGACAAAATAATGTGTGAAGCATGTCCAAATGTTCCACTTCAGTTGCATATTGCAGTAACATGTCATCCCTTTTCCTACTGATGGCAGCTAATTGTTGGCATTGAGTGGTAAAAACACTTGATGCTGTGAATTTAACAGCATTTTACCTTTGTAGGTCCAAACTCTTTGCTACATTTTCTGTAATACAAATAAATTGTGGTGTAATCTAGAAAGATGCAGATGTCACATTTATTTATTTATTTTTAATGTAAACATGCCTTACATAAGAATTCAGAAATTTCCTTACAGGCACTTCTCAGTGTATAGACTGAGACTTTCCATGCCAACATGTAACTGAGGCTCGATATAAGAGAACTCAGTTATACACAACAGTAAAAGATCATGTTTCTTATGGCCAACTGGTCGTAAAACATCAATCATATTGGCTTGGGTCTGAGTGATAGCTTAAAACCTATCTATGTTGTTTATTTGGGCCTTCGGAGGTTTCAAATGGTTGAATAAATCCCTAGCTCAATATCAACCCATGCCACTCTGAGTTAATTAATGTCATTTACTATCCAAGGGAGGTTGGATGAGGGGGAGATCGTCAAAGCAGCATTGCTTATTATCATTTGTTTTCTCGCTTTTCTTCTTCTTTTTGGTTATTTTTTGGTTTCCTGCCTGCACCCCTTTGACAGTCCAGGGGTTTGCCATGACATCCAAGGAGCACATTCCATGCCAAACACTGGCCAAAACTGTGGGCATCTCATGGCATTTTAAAATGTTATTCTATATTGCTTTCATATTCTGATTCGAATTAAGAATATGACATTAATAGAATTTAATGGAGGATCAACTTATGATTGGCTTTTGAGAAATAACTAACTCATCACATGCCATGAGAAAATACCCACCCATGATGTTGGCATACATAATGTGATAACTTTGGTGGCCACAGTCGAGCACTCTTTTACTACTCACCTCTTCGATTGAGGTTCTAACCAAAGGTCATATTCTAGCTTGACCAAGAAATAATGCATTGTTAATGTCAATATTGCTCGTGCAACATTCTGCCACTAAAACACTGTTGTTCTTCCCTGGAATGCTGGCAACAGCAGAAGGTTTATCAAATTGCAAAATCACCATTGACTCTAAATATTTCTTGCATCATCAGCATCATGATGAGTTAATATATTAACAAATATCACATGTCACCTGTGTATTCATTTACTTAAGGATTCATGTGAATGCAATTGGCACTGACAATATACATCTAAATGCAAAGGAAAATAGGGGATTATTCATACCACCAAAAGTCCATGTAGCCCAAGAGGTGCTGTTATGACATAGGATATGCCTGAGTGTTCTTTGGATGCGTCAGCTACTAAAGAAGGGATGTCCTAAATAACAATGGCAAGGGTTCATATATCTGTGCATGTATACTATTAACAACAAGATGAGCATGCCAGGTGCGATGAACATACCTGCTGCCAATGTCGTCCTGGGAAAAGAAAAAATGGACTGACAATAACACGCTTTGCTCCTTCTTGCACACATAACTTAAATGCATCCCTGATTGATGGTTCAGCCAATTCCTAGTTATTCAGATAGATTGTAGTTCAGTCATTACCTATGTAAATATTGAGAATAGCAGCAAAGGTAATACACATCCTCTAACTCTATGAAAAGATGCATTCATTAGTACCTATTTGATTCATATGTGGTGCATCATACACAACAATGAATACAGTTCTAATCTTACCAAAATCATCCATATAAATATTTTGAATGAAATAAATTTTAATAGTTGAAGAATTATAATGTTGAAGAAAGTGATGTTAGATAAACTTCTAGAATTTTTCCCTGCATCAGGAGTGCAGCAACTTCAGACATGTGAATCATTCCCAGCACTCGGAAAGTAAATTTACTTAAGCAACTTAAGGCATGCAAAAACGTTCTATTTTTCCATGCAGGCATAATGCACTGACCAGTAGAGATGGCATTAGCATGTTGCTGTGCTAAAACAAGCAAAGTGAAAAGTGACACCAATGTATTATCTGTTGGTATGTGAATGGTGTAGGCACAGCAGGATACTTTGTGCCATGATGCACGTTGTGCCAACCAGTGATTGGCATGTCCCCTTCGTGTTCTAGATCGATTGTACTAAGTATAATCCAGAAGCAAAATAAGGAGCAATTACCATATGAGCAGGCTCCACTATGTGATAACCAGTTCTAGCTTTGAACATTGCAACGAACTCATCTGTACTATCAATCGAAATACTCAATTAGCTTTTTCATATGACCAAATAGGATAAAAATGCCAAAGAGGATGACAGCAGTACAAAATATATGAACAATTTAAGCTCACTTAGCATGAGATTAGATTCTTGCCGTCGAGATCCATGGTCCACAATGATCACAGCATCATTGTCACCCACCGTGTGTTCCACTCTTCCCGTCGCTTCGTTTCTGAGACTCAAACCAAACTTTGCAGAAAGGGGACTACTTTTCGTCATAATTCTTCGCAACTTCACAAAATTGGGAAAAGGCAGTTTACCGGGAATCCATGCATACTCCCTACTGGCACGTGTTCTTAATTCGAAGACAAAACCCTATCAGAACAACAAAATCTTGGCAACAAGAGAAAGCTATGAGAGCAGTGGCAACCTAATTTTCCCCCCTTTTTTTTCCTTCCTGTTCTTGTGACAAGTCGTATTTCTAATACAGAAATAATGCCGAAGTTTCCGTTCAATAAAAATCAGGAAAATTCATCTCTTACAGATGACATCTAATAGGAAAAATTGGGTGCATTAATATATGCTACAAAAAAGAAACAGCACTATGTATCATTCAAATTACTGCGTTAGTACCAAATCATCAAACCCTCACACATGGTACAAAAGATGTCGAGACATCGACGGGAATCAACGCGTCCTCTTACCTTATGATTGGAGCTCGCGAGGGGGTTGTGGCAGAATGCATCATCCGTCGCCAAATTGCTTCCCCACTAAAGGATGAGCTATCGAAGGCGAAACGACGACGAGGAGATGGCGTCGCGATGAGCACAAGGCGATAAGAAAACCCCATCGGGCTCGGCGAGAAGCCGCGGCGACTCGACCCGGTTTGGTTCGACAGATCGTTTAGGCCCATTTATTGGCTGAAGCCCAACAAAACAACACGTAGCCCATCATCCACTTAAGCCCAAAAACCGAGGAAAGTGTTTTTCTTTACATTTTTATCCTTTCAAAAATTTAAAAATAGGATATTAGTATTTGCCACCCTTTTTATTACTTATAATCTTATTTTATATTTTTAAAATATTTTTATACTATCCTTCGCAAATAGATATAAATATATATTTTTTAATTCTTTTTCTTCTCCTCCTCATTTTCTTTTTTTAATTAAAAGGTCAGTGTCAAACAAGGTCAGACAACGATTAAATCGACGATGATAATATAGGTAGAGAGTGGCATCGATAATAAAGATAAAATAAGAGATGGTAAGAAAAAAATAAATTAATAATATTAGGATTATAAATAATAATATTTTATTTTATAAGAAATTATCAATAGCAAGAAGTTATCAATAGTAAAAAAAAGAAGTATGAATAATAAACTTCCAAACATATCATATTTGCCCCTCCAACATTAAACATTATATATATATATATATATATATATATATATATATATATATATATATATATGATAGGCTGCATATTATGCGCAATGCAAGGAAATGAATGAAGTGCATGTGTAAATTTGTATTGAATTGACTTCATTGAAGTCTGACCCGCTGATCGACTAAGTGGGTAATGGGAAGCACTTCCCACCCAAATTAGTGAGCTGAACCAAACAATATTACATGTCCAAATAATTTATATTTATTTTGTTTATGCTCTTAATAAAAAATGTATTTTTTTTTGCTTGTCTGAAAAAAAAAAGAAAAATTGAAATAGAAGAGAAAAAAAAAAACTATATTGGAAAAATTACAGCCGCTACCACTTTCTCTCTTTAATTCAGCAGCGCCGGCTCGGCGCTGAAGTCATGCAGAGCGCGCTCTCCTCGTTTATTGATCTCTCTCTCTCTCTCTCTCTCTACATGGGCGTGTCGAGTGGGCACGCACCACCTTCCCATTCGATCTCTTAGTCTCACAAATATCGAACTTGGGAGAGAGGAGGAGGAGGAGGGAGAGGGAGGTGGGTGTCGTAATGGCGTACAGGGCGGACGAGGAGTACGATTACCTGTTCAAGGTGGTGCTGATCGGGGACTCCGGGGTGGGCAAGTCCAACCTGCTCTCCCGCTTCGCCCGCAACGAGTTCAGCATCGAGTCCAAGTCCACCATCGGGGTCGAGTTCGCCACCCGCACCGTCCACGTCGACGACAAGGTCGTCAAGGCCCAGATCTGGGACACCGCCGGCCAAGAACGGTAAACCCCCTTCGCCAAACAGATCTTGCTGCGGATCGTGAGGCATTTTGCTGTCTGAGATCCCTGGTTCCGAAAATTTTCGCCTTCCTTCAGCTTCTACTGCAATTTTTGCTAAAGAAGTGATTTTTCGACTTTGGTGCGTGCTTGGCGTGCATTATTCCTGTCAATTAGCAGCAAGCACATTGCACATTTCTGTGTGCCGGGTGAAGCACGACGCATTGTTCTGACTTCTGACCACATTGGATTTTTAGTTATGCGATAGTATTGATTAGGAAAAATGGTTCCTTTCTCCATCTCCCCCCTTTCTCATCTCGAATCGTTTGGGAACGTTAGGAACAGTTTGACTCTTGCTTGTGTTCCGACAGTTGGATCAGAGCATTACGGTAACAATCTCCTAAAGTTACCAATTCTTTGGTTCTTCTTATGAACATTCAAGATCCTCATTTCCTCCCGATTCTTGAATATTGAGTTTGATGCTCAAAACTAGTTCAAAGCCAGTTTGAACTTTATCTCCTTCATTCATCAATTTTGAGTTTGGGGACTTGTCCTCAACAGGATCATTTTTATAGAGGTCCATGACAAACTTGGCAGATTTTACTGCTTTGAATTGCCATTTGAGCTACCAAAAGAACTCGAGGTAAAAAAGAACAATCTGTTTGTTTTATCAGCTATATTGATTTTTTAATATGCTTATAAACTTAACAGGAGTAAAATAGAATCCAGATCTTTCTTGATTTCATCAATTATCATGATTGAACCTCGACGCGTTTAGGATTTTGTTTGAGAAGCAATCTACATGACTACTCTTGTATGTTGAAACTTTGAATTGAAACAGTATAGTTGATCTTTTATTGGAAGTTGTGATCAGACAGATTTAAGAGCTCTATTGTTCTTCAGAATCAACCTGATCCTCTAAAGCCATAGAAGTCATTGTTTTCGGAGACTGCTGTCAGGCCAATTTTGCCTGATATCTATAATTTCATAGTTTGTTCTTCATAATCTCCTGCATAAAAATTGACTTTTTGCTCTCTTGTTTCATATATGGCTTGACCTTCTGTGTCTATAATCGATGTGTTCTATCCTCTTGCTCTTTTTGTATAGGTATCGTGCCATCACAAGTGCATATTATAGAGGAGCTGTCGGTGCACTCGTCGTCTATGATGTGACTCGCCATGCCACTTTTGAGAATGTGGAGAGGTGGTTGAAGGAGCTACGGAGTCATACAGACCCCAGCATTGTGGTAATGCTGGTGGGCAACAAGGCTGACTTGCGTCACCTGAGGTCTGTCTCCCTGGAGGACGCTGAGGTCTTTGCTGAGAAGGAGAAAACCTTCTTCATGGAGACATCTGCCTTGGAGTCACTGAATGTGGAGAATGCATTTACAGAAGTGCTATCACAGATATATCGAGTAACAAGCAAAAAATCCCTTGATGTTGGCGACGATGCTGCAGTATTTCCGAAGGGACAGACCATCAATATGGGAGGAAAAGATGATGTATCAGCTGTTAAGAAACGTGGCTGCTGCTCAACTTAGCTTTCTTCTTTGGCATTCTTGCATGGGGTTGCCTTTTGCAAATTTCCAAGTACTTCTCTCTTGAAGACAAACTCCAAGAAAATTTAGCATCACCTGCACTTCCATAGCTAGTATCAGTATGGCTTTTTATACGAGTGGTCATCGTTCCAGAGTGCAGACTGCAAGATTTCTTCTCACTTTTATATATGGCTTGAACTCAAACTGGATTTTGTTAGCAAGAGTGCAGACTGCAAGATTTCTTCTCACTTTTATATATGGCTTGAACTCGAACTGGATTTTGTTAGCAAGTGTTTGTTGCAACCGATGTATCGCACTATGCAATCAGGAATGCTATTTTGTTATATCAGTGATTGCTCAGTTGTTCTTCCCTTAACCTCATAAATGCTTCGATCTGGATTGAGGTAAGCTTTTCTATTCTATCAGTTGGAATTATTGGTATCATGTTTTGCAGATGCAGAGTTTATATTACAGTTCTACACTGCTGATACAACAGGTGCTCTGTGGATTATGTATGGTGAGAGTGAATTAGTCCTCTTATCATCTGACAATGCTGCCACTGCTCTGATGAAATCATGAATCTATGTAGAGATTCAATGCCACTTTCACTCTCTGCTGAAAGTAGTCTTTTCTAATTAAATCTAAAGAATACTTGTCCAAAATGTTTTACATTCTTCTCCAACACCATTAGAGAGATCATTAGGTCCACCAAGCTTCAGATTTGTCAAGGGATATCATGTTTCAGATCATAATTTGATTCATGTGAGATATGACCATCTTTAATGGATTTGTCAAGGGATATCCTCAATGGGCATTATATTACTCCATTTATACATAGAGAAAATACCCAATCTTTTTAGCTAAAAGATTGATGATATGCTTGATGTTGTAATTGCTCCCATTCAATCTGAGCACATGCTTTAACAAAGCTGTAAATGCAGCCAAAACAATAGAAAAACAGTATCTTTTTGATGGAACAAATCACTGCCCATTTGATGTTAGGCATCTGATTCCTTCGTGACACTCTCATACCAACAGCAGATGGCTTGTTTCGGAAGCTTCAGTAGCAGAATTACTTGCACAGTCTCTTCTACACTGCAAGTGCTCAAAGACATGGCACATCTTCTCCTTCCTGTCAATGTATTCCTCGGCAACAGTGCCTGTACAATGTGAGGCAACAAACACAACTACGAAGTCGATTCTCCCGAGTCATGTGCCAAAATAGCCATGCAACTTATCGGCAACAGCTTCCTGTTCCAGAGACGAATGCAGACTCTGACCATCTTCCATACGGCCAATGAAATCCGAAGCAGAATACATGGCTTCAGCAGAGTCTTTGTAGTGAAACCTCGGCCTGCCTTTGGCGTATCGCTTGCTTTCCATCGCCTTGTTCTCTGCATTAAGCCTCCCCATCTGCTGCTGCAGATCGACCATCGAATCGATTGTCACCTTCGCTTTGGCGCTCTTCTTCGGATCCACCAGCTTGAGCTCGAGCCTGTACAAAGCGCACGCGTCGCAGTCGTTGATCTCGTACTCGTAGAGATGCCACTCGAAATGGCTCAGCGGCTGCGGATCCATGTAGTAGGACCTCTTGAGCCCTCCGAACTCCTTCATCACCTGCTTCCTCGATTCATGCCAACCACGCCCGTTGTAATCCGGCAACGATCGTTGCTTCCTGTTCCCGCTCTCGAATGCCCTTCGAGGTTTGTCGAAGAAGAGCCATTCTCTGAGCGATTCACCGTTGAGGACCAAGAGATCAAAGAGCTCTGCAAGCAAACACACGAGGAAGCATCATAGTCATTCGTGCATGCTCTGCAAACGCAGTTGTTGTCGATGCATACCAGGCGCGTTCCATGGAGATCTGTTGGTCGCTGCTCCTTCACACTCTGGAATGCCGACGTTCTTCCCTTGTGATTTGGCGACGAGGGCAGCGAAGAGGGGGCCATCCTTCAAGTCGATGCCACCAGGGCGGAGCACCGGAGACGTACCAGGAGGACCTTCGTTGAGTGCCAGAGTGGCATGGAAGCTGCTACAGTAGTCTTGGAACCATTCTGATCCCCGAGCAGGCCTGGGGCAGTCCCAGAGCGCACACTTGGGTCTCAGGAAAGCCGAAGGTGGAGGGCATGTCGCCGCGACGAACTCGCAAAAAGGTGGTGCCAGATCGCCTGCATCGAAACCGGCGGCAGTAAAGCCAAATAACACATTTTGGGGTAGTTGTTGATGCAGATTGTAGTGTTGGATTTGAAGATCGTCGGCTCCTTCCAAGCATTGCAAGGCAGCATGTTGTGCTCCTGTAGAACCGCATTTGTATTGCTGGGCGGCTACAAATCCGTAGCCTGGCATCTCTTGGGCCATCAAGTATTCCTGCAAAGCGATTTGGAATCCATAAATCGATCTCAGAGCAAACACGATTTCCTAAGGACAGATGAAACAAGGGCTTAAGGATGCTCACCTCTCGGAGAAAAGCAGCGGCGGCGCCACTTTGAAGTCCCACAGGGTACGGGCCGAGCACCTCGAGCGGCTCATCCTTGGGTGGCAGCACGGTCAACTTGCTCGTGGCGTCGTCGTCTTCCTCCTCCTCGTTCAGTTGCAGCATGCGGCGGATGTAAGAGGACAGATCGGAAGGCCCGCGGCTATGCCCCTTCTTGCAGCCAAAGGGAGAGGAGATTCAGAGTCAGCACTATCCGTGACAAAAAGAAGAAGTACGAACGAGGTGAATAATGATAGAGGGAGGGGCGAGGGAGGACGCAGACGAGAAAGGAGGAGCAGGCGGAGGCGGCGGGGGAGGGCTCGCTGAGCTCGGTCTTCCACTCGCGGAGCAGCTGGTGGAGCTGCTCCTCGAGGACAGCGGCGTCGGCGGCCCGGCCCTCCCTGCGGGCGGACTGCAGCCCGACAAACATCGCCTGGAGGTCGTCCACCTGGTTCTTGGCTTTCTCCCTCATCGCCCGCCGGTGATGGTTGTGGTGCAGCGCCGCGCCTCCACCTCCGCCGCTCCTTTTCCGCATCTCTTCCGATCGGTGGAAGAATCGAATTCTTCCGGCCGACGCGTAGAAAGAGGGCTTTGGGCGCAAAGAAAGAAATCTATTCTTTCTTCGTCTTCTTCTTCCTCCACAAGGTACAAGGCGGCCATTGATGGAGCGAGAGTTAATGGGGAAGAGAGGAAGGAAGGAATCTGGAAAAAGCGAGGGGTAACGCAGCAAAGGTGAGAGGCGAATATATTCCTCGAAAGCTCAGCTCAGCTCAGCTCAACCAGTGCACTGCTCTGCTCCTCCACACCTCCATCAAAGCGTATGCATGGCCTCGCACGCGCCTCGGAGTCGCACCCAAACACACCTCACACGGACACTTGCTCCTCAAAACACTCCGCTCGAACAGGATAATTAAAAGGTTTCTTGCGACAGGTGTACGACCATCGGTATCGAACATCATGATTGCACACATCTTAAAGAGATTAGTGTTCAACACGTATAAATCAGGTCTGCCAAAGTCTCAGCCTCAGCCGCTATTCGTGACTTCATGCCACTAATCGGTCATTCCGTCACGTTTCCATGTTGGGAAAGGTCGGGTGGCGCGGTTGGTGGATCCGCGTTGGATTATGTTGACCTGTACATGCCAGATGTGGCAGGAACTTCCCCATGTGCTGTCCACTTTAGATTCCACGTGTGTCACGCCCAAGTTCTTATATTAACTATATTTTATTTCTGAGTAATTTTATTTTTTGGGATAATTCACTGTAATGTGATTTAATTGTCGGAAAATGGATAAGAAGCGAAAAAGATCTGATGGAGAGAGTGGAATTGCACGTGCCTAAAATTATTATTGCTCTCCTTGTCACGATGTCGTTGGCGTTTCATGGCGTCGGATTGTCGTGGCTTACCTCGTTGTCACGGTGGCGTCACCGTCCTCGTCAACTTCGCTAGAAGCATCACCTCCTGTCGCGAATTGAGTCACCGGCCCAACTGATCTGGGCCAGGGTGACCACAACTCGTACACTGTGGTGTCAGTCTGACCAAAGTTTTGGAGAAGCCCGGATTTGATGCTTCATTTCAATCACGTTTCAGGGCACCGTGACACACATGGAGCAAACGGAAGGGTAACTGGCATCGAAAACCCTGGACCGTGTCCGGACTGGACAGCTAAGCTGGACACTGGCGGAGAGCGACGACGCTGCGGGAGAACCAGAACCGGACAGGTTACCGTATGGTATGCGGACGCTGCATTAGCGTGCGCAGCGGATCCCGAAGACCCGCAACTCGCGTCAGCAGATGGTGGCTGCTCGGTCCACGTCAGTGACAGGCGGGCGGACTGCAGCAGAACCCGACGCGTCGATGGCGGAGTGGTGAGCTTCGCATCGACGCGCGACGTCACCACCCCCCCGCATTATACATCCCCACACGCCCCCCCTCGCTCCTACGCTCCTCCCACTGCACCTGCCCACCCCCTCCCTCGTTGTGATGCAGCAGGCCATCCCCTACGGCAACGGGAGGGCGTGGCCGTCGGAGGTGGACCTAACGTCGTCGGACGCGCCGGAGTTTGGAGAGAGCAGCAAGGGTGTTGGCGAGATCAAGAGGGCGGTGGAGGAGAACCCGGTGGTGGTGGTGGGCCGGCGAGGCTGCTGCATGGTGCACGTGGTCCGGAAGCTGCTGCTGGGGCAGGGCGTGAACCCCGTGGTGTGCGAGGTGGGCGAGGACGCCGACGAGGCGGCCCTCATGGCCGGCCTGCAAGAGGCGGGCGCCGGGGACAGCGGCCTCCCTCAGGCGAAGGCCTCGGGGGCGGGGTTGCCAGCGGTTTTCGTGGGGGGGAGGCTGGTCGGGGGCCTGGACCGGCTGATGGCGGTCCACATCGCCGGCGAGCTGGTGCCCATCCTGAAGCAAGCCGGAGCCTTGTGGCTATGAACGGATGTGGCTGACGTTTTCCTTTTCTTCTCGCTTGTAATCAATTCCGTGATGTCCATGATGTAATCTGTGACATTGAGAGGAAGAGAACTGGGTGTGCTTCCGCCACATGTAAGCCTGTAACTTTGTGGACGTCGCTCGTGCAATTAATTACTTGTCTGACATCAGTTTTGTTCAGATCTTTGTCTCCAATATACGTATTATTTTCCTAGCTTTATCTTATCAAAGGGGGAAAAAATAATGGTGCTAGCGGACCCCATGGAGCAGCTAATGGAAAAGCAACACGTGGACTCATATTTTGCTTTTACTTTTGGGCAATGGCGAGAACCCGATTACTCCAAAAGAAAGAAGCATAACTCGTCTTAAAGTCAACTCGTGGTGGTCATCAACCAACGGTGAATAACACACGGCAACCATCGGGATTGACGTGTGAGTTGAGTCAACGTCTAGGAATATGTTATGTGAGAGATAAGATTAAGAATAGAATGAAGCATGATTCACGCTTACAGTTAAAAGTGGCATGAGAATCAAATACCTTCGATGGCTGCGACGAGCCCCTACTCGAGTCATGACTTGAGTCATGGAGAACTCTGCTTATGGGGACTAAAGTCGTGGCTCGAGTCATCGTCTTGGAGGGATCAGATTTGATCATCCTGTGAAATTTCCACCACCTTAATGGTATTACATATCAAAAATGCCATGAGGCAATGTTGTGGAATTTGACAAGGCAGAAGTTTAATGTAGTTATTACAGTTGTAGAGAGCGCAGTTGACCAACCACTAAGTGACGAGAGATGCTCCACCATGTCCAGTCTCCGCGCTCCATGTCAAACAGCTCCCAGTTGAAGCATCAGATCATCACGAGGCCCCAGCTTCAGGTGATCAACAGCCCTGCCTGCATGACTCACAACATGATTCATCTCGCAGAAAGAATTCAGAGAAGAGGCAACAGGGCTCACCTGCAGAGCTTGGCTTCCGAGACCCGAACGGCGATTCCGATTCTTCATAATGCATGTCAGTCACCGAACCTGCACTTATATTTGCTGCTGGGATCGTCTCGGTCAGACTGAATCCAAAAAGCCTACAGCTTTTGATACCATGAGGAAGAGCATTCTCATCATTCTTTGGATCTGCTGAACTATAATGTCCCTTAGCAAACTCATCTACCATGTTACAGGGAACACAAGGCATTTGTTTCTCTGTGCCAAACGAGCTCTTGTCATGCTCATCTGTGGTGGAAACTGCACCAGGGTGTGAAAACTGTGCACTTTCTTGCGGAAACATTGGAACAAAAGTTGGAGTCGATTTCCCAAGGAAGCTGGAATCCTGAAATGATCTTGGCCAACTGCTTCCTATGCCGAGCAAGCGACTTAAGAGCCTAGCACCGCTTTCTGGCAAAGCATTCATCGGAGTACTTTGAAATGCGGGCACCGTTGGATATAATTCTTGACCTTGCAAGACCTTGCCGAGTGGTACAGATTCTCCAAATCCCTTGTCGGGGAAGTTCAAATGACCAACTGGAATTCCAACATTGTTTCTAATATCGGTGTTTGATATGTCAACACCCTCATAAAGGGTTCTCGAACCCATAACTTCTTGACCTTGCAAGACCTCGAGGAACCTTGCAGATTCCCCCAAGTCAGGATATGCAACTCCATCTGCGGTGGAGGCAAGGGAGATTACTATATGACTAAAAGAAGAGTTCCTCGACAGAGAAATGAAATCCCAGTATACAACTAAGAACTTACTTGGAATTGGATGATCCAGATGGTCCCAAGGATGAAATTTTTTGGTTCTCTTTGGACCAGTTGTTGGTGGAACATATGACAGTGAAATTGAATCTGTTGGCTCGATATCCCAAGGAGATACCCTGTTATCACTAGTTATATCCACCTCATCATCCCATCTCACCTGCCAGTATAAGCACAATAATTAAGAACAGAAATTGTTTGCTGGCATAATTATTGATTCTATTCGTGCTATGAAAACCAATAGCTTTACTGGATTCACTGTATGGTGAATCAGTTCTGGCTGAGCACAGACATTTAGCATCAAGTTCGAACAGATAACTTTGTAAGTTTAAATGTTCAGTAGATGTAAACTTGTGTGTTATTTGTATCACACCATCAGATAATGGAATAATGCACTATCTTATGGATAACTATAAGCTTTACAAGATTTCAGTCGTAAAACTTTCATTAATTTGAACAAGGAATGTCAGATGCCAAAAAGATGAACAAACATGAACTGTCCATACTCATTTTGCCAAAATGACACCAGCTAATTGCTAGCGTGATCCAAGGAGCAGTTGTCAGAATTTTGTTCCTACCCACCATCGAAGATTATGATATGACTGGAGATGTCCACCGCTGAAACAATGTGCAAGTTTTCTGCATTTACTTTTCAGGAAAATGTATAGTCATACCCCTTTATAGTAGCTCAATATCTCGCTCCCCCTCCAAAGTTACATTTAATTTGTTTATCAGAAATACACTCTGACTTCAATGTCAGTTCTAGCAATTATCCATTAAGAACCAAAACTAAATAAGGATCTAAGGGAGTAACACCTAAGATTGTGCAGTAAAATATACGAAGCAACATAAATATTATGACATACCAAAAGACATTTCCATTTTGAACCGGGCCACCTAAGAGGGTCCAGCTCACCAGTCCCAGTAATCAATCCTGTGCACCTGTTAATACATATCCACAACTTTTATTTAAGGGACCAATCAAGAGCTAATGTTCTACCAAAATAAGTTGATTCTGACCTTCTGTCTGCAGCATATTCACAGTCAATTGTCATTTTAAACCTTGTTCCAATAGAAAATGAATGATTAAAGCTCTTTGTGAACTTCCAATAGGGAATGATGAACTCTGATTTGCCTTCCCTGCAAGGTTCCCAACTTAGTGCAACTTTAACTGGAGATGGCACGAGAGTCGCATTACCTTAATAATTTGTGATGCTAACTGACTCTAGTCAAAGTTAGTATTGCATCTGCTGAGAGTCAAATTGAGTGACATATAACCAAGAATCCACAGTTTACTAGCATTACAAGCACAGTTAACTGAAAAAATTTGCATAGTTTCATGCTGAGTGAAGCTATGGCAAGTAGAATCTTCCTCAAAAAATAACTGTGATTCCATCATGAGGTCTTCAATCCCCATGGTGTTCACTAACCTAACATCTTATCAACTACATGCCAACCATATGATGCTTTCAATAATCAAGTAACTATATAAGTTGATAGTTAGCAGTGCCTACATATTGAGCTAAATAAATTCAGTGAGGCTTTCGGGAAAAAGCTGACAAAAAATGTTACATAAACAAGCAAGACTTTTTGCCACTACAGATCTCATTGAATTAATATTGTCAACTGTCTATTTCTAGATTGAGAGTAGTCAAATGAAATTAACTTGTAGGAGTTATTTTCAAAACCTCATACCCTGCATATCTAAGCATTGGTGGTTTAAATACAACTTCTGCAATCTCAAGAAACATATACTCCCAAGGCACCAAGATAGATTCAATGTTAACACTATACAAACATACCTCGGGTTGTAATTAATGCAGAATACCATTCTTGCAGACACAGCATTGGCTAGATCAGTGAGTATGCCAAGATTTTTTTTATTAAAAGGAGAATGAATGACTCTCGTCAGTTGATCAGACCTCCGTATACCCAACCTAAGCTCCCCATCATTGCCCCTAAATTGAAGAAAACACTATGAGCAGGAGAAAATGTTTCAAGTAGGTTAATCAGCTGCACACGTCAGATATGCATACCGGAGAAAGAGCACAGAATCCCCGGAGACCAGCTTTTTCTTGTTAATAAATGCAGTCCATCCTGTTGTTAGCAAATGCCTACGAGGTTGTCCTAGACAAAATGCAGAAATTAATTTCTCAGGTATATCTAACTATATATAGAATCTCACACTCATCCATTGAGATGAAACCGGACATATGAGACAAGAAAGAAATGATTACAAAAGGAACCAATGGAATTGAATAAGGATGTAAAGATCACATTTCATTCTGAGGATACTTGAATAATCAAAGGGAGATCTTTGAAACATTCCAAGAGTTCAATTATTAGAAAATAGGAGGCTAATAAACATGATTTTTTAGAAAATAGAAGAATCCTTCTATTTTCTAAAAAATCATTTCTGACCACCTAAGATGGAATCGCAATGGTTAACACTTAACATCATAACATATCAAATGATCACATATATATTGCAGGTCAAACATAAACCACATGCAACAAAAGAGACTACACTTAAGGTTGCACTTTAAAGTCTAAAAATGAAAAATATAGCCACTAAAAAAAATACAATTAACTACCAAATAATTGATTAGCTTGCACAACCCTTGCCAATGCAGGATCCAAGGAGGGTCCAAATATGCAACCTTACTCTTAGAAAAAAACATAGAGATTGTTTTAATAACTTGAATCTTGATCAGTCGGTTCAAAGAACCAATATCACCGCTCATATGTGTGCTAATTAGATAAAAAATGTTCACTGTTAAAACTTAAATTAATTAAGAAGGGACAGTTTGGATTTCAAATCATTCAATTGAAGCTCTTAAAAGAGAGATATCTTGTAATTTGGATATCTTCATTTTTTTAGTTCTGAGAATTTACAAAGTGGTACATATTGGCATTAGCTCAATTTTCTAGCAATAGATAGTAACCTAAATGTATTTCATCAACATACCCCTGTAGATATGTCGGAATCTCCATTCAGTGCCATGCAAGTCCTTTGCAGCAAGCTCTTGTGATGGCCTTGGCTGCTTATAATCCTAGGCCAAAAATATGGTAGTCACACCCATATGAAACAGACAGCTAGAAGATGGTTGTTAGTACCAATTTCCACAGTAGGTTCGTATCTTTCACATACTGATTTGATGGCAAGAATCTCGCGCACTTACCAGGGGAGGGAAACAGTCCTCAGCAGCTCGGCGAGGGATAGAGAAGCCTCCATGGCTGCTTGTGTCGGAAGCAGTCAGGGTCTTACAAAACATGTGCGTGGTAAAGGCCTTGCTAAAATCATCACTCTCCTCCACATGCCTTCTTTCTCCAGCCTCGTCATCTTGCAGCTGTTTCTCCAATTCCTGAGTCGGAAAGTCCCATACTTATAAAGAGAATATATCATGAAAATATACAAAAAACCTTG